GGACAGCGATATGAACTGCTAAGGCTGATAATACAGGAAAAGATAAGAGGAGGAAGGAGTATAGGAAGAAGGAGAGCGTCATGGTTGAAGAATTTAAGGGACTGAATTAAATGCAGTTCTATAGAACTCTTTAGAGCAGCAGTAGATAAAGTAAATATAGTGATGATGGTATCCAACCTCCCATTGGGAGGTTTAATGATATTTCTTATCATGACATATAGATGGAAAACCTTAATAATTAATGCAAACATGATCAAGCTAGCTGCAACAGAAAAGACAGTGGAAAGGACAATGTTAGACATACGACTGTCAGATAAAAAGAGAATAATATAAATAAATATCGTTGGCATAATGGCTGGAGTCCTACAGGGATCGTTTTTGGGTCCTACGCCATGGAACCTAGCATTTAAAGGAGTCATGAACTTTGAATACGAAGAAGATATAAGCCCCTTCACATTTGCGGATAATTTCGCTGTACTGGTAGTATCGCGGGACGAGCCGGATTTCCGATTTGGTGTAAGACATACGAGCAACGTCCGGACTGAAAGACCGAAGCCATAATTCTAAAGGGTTAACGGAAAAACAAGGAATAGAACTCCAATATGCAGGGGCACAGCTAGCACCAAAGACATGCATTAAGTATCTGGGGGGCGAGGAGGTCCCTATACGGTATTGTGCAGTCAATCATCCTTTACCCGACACCAATCTGGAGTGGAGCGATAGAGTTACCGACCTATAAGGGGTTCATGATACGAGTGGATAGAGCGATTTTTTTGTGAGTAGCATGCGCACACAAGACTGTATCTGCAGCGGCCTTATAGACTATCATGTGTTGCGTTTCTCTGCATGTATAAACGGTAGAAAGGCGACATCTCTATGAGAGAAAAGAGCATTTAACAACAGCAATAAAAACGATGATAGGGAAAGAACAATGGAAAGATGATGAGATGAGTGAAACAACATGAAAGATGTTGCCCAGTGGACTAAGATGCTGATCCCGAGCCTACGAGACTGGGTAGACTGTGGTCACAGGCTACTGGATTACTTCTTGGCGCAAGTGTGCACATGATACGGGTGTCTTAAAGCGTATCTTCATAGGTTCAGAAAGACAAATACAGACAAATGCATATACTGCAAATACAGTACTCTGTATATCCAAGGCTACAGCGACAACACCGCTCTTACTTAATTTTAAATCTTTATTTAATAAGGAATTTGTAAAAAGATCTATTTATATCAAAAGTTTGGAAAATAATATTAGTTTAATTCTCATGTATTTATGGGTTTTATTTGTAACTGATTGTTTAATATCTATATTTCGTATGCAAATTATTAATAGCATAATTATTATAAAATAACTGATAATTCACAACGAAATGGCATAAACCAGTAATGAAACCTCAACCAATTTATGGTTGGACAATTTGAAAGACAGGCGCGTTTATTTTATTTATATAAGATGACTTATTTGGACAAACTCGTAGCAGATATTAAAACTGACAGAACTTTACTAAATATAACAAGACACAAATTGTGGAAAATTTTGCATAAATTATTTGGGAGAAGCACGACAAAAATCTTTTATTTGTAGGGAAATATTCTCATTCAACAAATTATTTATTGGAGCAGACGATTTTAAAGAAAAATTCCTAAGCTGAGAAGAGGAGACAGTAATATTTTTTATTTGGATGAAGCAGGGATTCGTGAAGAACATATTGAGGGAAATAATTGGTAAGAAAACAGGTTACAAATGCTCGTCAGCCGTTTACTAAAGGTAGAATAAACAACAATTTGCAAAGAAGAAGAATTGTATTGCAAGAATTACAGAGGAATTGTAGGAGGACGCTTCTTAAACAAATAACAACCAATGCTTAATATCATACGATTTCTACCTGGCGAAATCGAATTTAAATTTTAACCACTGTGCATTCTAAAACTTGCAAAGCAAACAGCTCGGCAAAATTACTCGGCAAGGGAATCTGAAAATTGCATTGCATGACGGTATTAGATTTTTGTTTTGATACAGGGCAGTGGCAAGCCGCTTATAGGTAAACAAAATTTATTCCGTCGTAGACAATAGTTACCAAAATAATTATATACGGACGTAACTACGCCATCTAATAACAAAAAGAGAAATCATACGATTTCTGCCTGGCGAAATGGAATTCAAATCTTGACCACTGTGCTTTCTAAAACTTGCAAAGCAAACAGCTTAATAAAGTACACGGCAAGGGAATCTAAAAATGGCTATACTGCTCTGAGGAGACCTCATCAATCAGCCCTGAGTTGTGCATTGTTGAACATAGGCCTCCTCTAGATTTTTCCATCTGCTTCTGTTCTGCGCCTCTGCTATCCAATTGGTCACGATTCTTTTGAGGTCGTCGGTCCATCGCGTTGGGGGTCTTCCTCGACTTCGCTTGTCAACCCGTGGTCTCCACTCAAGCAATTTTTTTGTTCAACTGTCGTCTTTCATTCTTGCAACATGCCCTGCCCATCTCCATTTTGCCTTGTAATATGTTTGATAATGTCTTCCACTCCGGTTCGTCTACGAACTTCCTCGTTTCTCATTCTATTTCTTAAACTTATTCCAAGCATTGATCTCTCCATCTTTCGTTGTGTCCTTCTCAATTTTTCGGCTGATATTTTTGTGAGAGTTAAGGTTTCTGCTCCGTATGTGAGGACTGACCCAGACTTATTCTTCTGAGTAGCTCGCATGTTTGGTTATCTCGCGTTAACCTTATTTCGTAACCGAAATACACATATTTTTTTACAAGTTCTATGGGCGACTTTTCGATTTCTATTAGCTCATTGGGGACGAGATTGGTCATCATTTTTGTTTTTCCATAGTTTATTTTTAAACCGACTTTCTGGGTTATTTGCTGTAGTTGTTGTAGCATAACTCTGGCTTCTCCTAAGTTGTCTATTATGAGAACAATATCATCGGTATATCTAAGATGATTGAATATTCATAACTGTTATAAATAGTTTTAGTAGTCATGCAATGGAGGTTAACGGTTGTTGTCGCATTTTCGTATATATTTCGAATAATATTTGCATACCTGTGATCTATTCTGCATTCTGATAGTGCTTTTAAGATAGCAACTGTTTCGACTGTGTCAAATGCTTTGTGGAAATCGACAAAGATAAGAGCAAGGGGTCTGTTATATTCGACAGACTTCTCAACTAGAGTTTTAAGGCATTGCAAATGGTCGTTTGTTCCGTGTCCCACTCGAAATCCTGCCTGTTCTTCTGATTGATAGAAATCGAGTTTTACTTCTAATCTGTTTGTCAGTATTCGAGTAAAGAGCTTGTATAGGTGGTTAAGCAAACTAATTGGCCTAGTTTTCGAGATCTGATTTATCCCCTTTTTTGTGGAGGAGGATTGTAACCGAATTCTTCCATTTACTTGGAATGTTTTCACTATGTAGACATAGATTAAAAAGTGTTTGGATTTGGGACATCAAAAGTGGACCTCCTAGTTTAATTGTCTCAATGACTACACCATCTTCCCCCGGAGCTCTATTATTTTTCATATTTTTGAGGGCATGTTGAATTTCCTCTCGTGGTATATCTGGTATATCCTCCGATCCTACATTATGTACCTTTTGTATTGGTTGTTCGATGAGTTCTGGAATAACTTGACTTTTATATAATGTTTCATAGAAACTTTCCACTATATGTAATATGCTTGGTCTATCTGATATAATATTTCCATTTTTGTCTTTAAGTTGGAAGATTTCATTTTTGCCATTTTCCATTTTTCTCCTCAATGCTTTCATGCTTTTGTTGTCTTCTATAGTTTTTATAATTTTCTCGTTGTTGTATTTTTTAATATCCCGTCTGATGGCTTTAGAGATTTCTTCTCTGAGGAGACCTAAAGAAGTCGAAATATGTATAAGCGGCTTGCCGCTGCCCTGTATCGAAACAAAAATCTAATACCGTCATTATGTTTTAAAATATGAATAGATGTTGGGATGTTTAGCCATTAACGATGTACATATTACTTCTGGAAAGTGTTTTTTTAACATTCTTAAGATTTTCTGCCGTTGTATGTTGGTCTACTATAATAACATGGAGATGGCTCAATTTTGGGACACCACTGATTTTGGAGTTCTCCTTATTATCTATAACAATTCGTCCATTTCTTTTTTTATATCTAACAGTTTTTCATTCTTGCCCACTATTATTTTGTAACCGAATTTGAATTCTCAATATTTATCAAAGAATGAGATAAGAATAGGAATTAAGGCATGGAAAAAAGAACACTAACCAATAATTTAATAATAAATTGTCTTAAAGCGTTTTTATTAGATTTTTATATTTCGAATTCAGCTTTAAATAAGTATTTGTTTTGTAATTTGAAATACATGTATTGAGCTTTGTGTTTGGTCGTTGGTGTTATAGAGCACTTTTTGTTTGACCTAAGAAAATTATTAAACAATTTCTAAGCTTTGTTAGTAAATTTTTAAGTCTGCCATTTAAAAAGATCTTAGTCTTTTTTTGGTGTAACATTTTTGCTGGAATATTTTTGTTCATTGTATATTTATTATTTTCTAAATATTTACAAAACATTTTAATACATTTTTATGATATTATTTTGTTTTTATTAGCTTGAATAATAATTAAAATGAATCATTGAATTCTGATAGCTTGAATAATAAACAGGAACATTGAATTCAAAGAAATATTGTTGGAAAACTTTGCATGCCAGGGACTCACACATGGAAAATAATTTCATTTAACAACATGCAAAATAATTTCATTTAACAACAATAATAAATAGGTATGTAAATTTACTCTCTTTATTTGGTTCGTTATAGTCAATTCACAGTAGGACACTATCAGATTTCATGCGTAAAAAAGACAATAAAAATAAAAGAGTCAATTAGTCCTATGTGCTTCCTGTTGACACGAAATGGTTTAAAAAGTGAAATAGAGTAGGTGTATGTAGTATCTCCCGCTGTAACGGGTATTCTCTTGCTATAACAAGTCATCTCGGTCAGACATTATGAATAAATAATTTGATTATGTAAGTAAATTAATAGTATGTGGGCCAGCGTAATATTATCATTAGGGTTGACTACTGTATACGATTCATAATTTTTTTACCAATATTTTAAAATGTACGCGTATATATATATATATATATATATATATATATATATATATATATATATATATATATATTTATTGCTATGATGTTTTGTTTGTGTATGAGCTATGAGTAATTTTGAATAATATATATAATATAGAAGTATAGGGTTTTTATCGCGGTTCTCAAAGAATTAGTTTGTAAGTACTTTTTTAAATTATCTTTATTATAACTATTATGAAACAGACATATATATCTAGTATAAACAATATAAATTTAAAACAACCTATCTAAATTTGAAATTCTTACAATTATTAAATTATATTAACAAAATTTGGTACCTTTCTATCACTGAAGGCCTAAATGAAACTTCAAAATAAAGTTATAATCACCACTTAATATCTTCTTAATCAGCCTCGGTTATCCTTGTATTTGTGAAATTGCTCTTTTCAAATATACCAAAATGTTTTAATTATCAGCTCCCAACAATTTTAAATATTTTTCTTCTTAATAATCTCCAATCACCATATAGATATTATAATTTAAAATTCTTCTAATCTCCATATAATATACTTTCAAATATACTGTATACTATCTGCTTGTACTATTGACTGCTTAATTAACTGTCGAACTGTCTCCTGTTTAACTTCTTAATGAATTAACTCCATACTGTCACTGTATTACTGTACTTAATAAATTATAACTATCACTGTATTGAACTAACTGTCTTAATTTACTCTCATACTCTCCAACTGTATCTGACTTAATTAATTATAACCGTCTTGAACTAACTTTTTTGATAAATCTAATACTGTCACTAACTTAATGAATATAACTTAATGCCTGCCTGCTCCAAATTACGTTGTATTTATATCCTTTTATCGTTCCAGAATTTTCGGAAAATAAATCATGTTGTAATTTGTTAAATTCCTAGACATATGAATATTCTGGAATAGTCCACCAAGTAAATAGGCCAACTTTCTTATATTGAGATGTTTTTGTCCAGAAAATTCTTTGCTCTTCTATGGATAATTTATTGGACATTTAGGCTTTCAGATCAGACTTCACTCTTATATATAAACTAAACATCTTAAACTAATATATTATCACTATTTTACATCCGTGATTATATTTAAATTAAACATCCCAAACTAATAAATAACCCCATTTTACATCTGCAACCATCCAAATGTCAAATAACACAGTGTATATTTGGTTGCCTATGCACATGGCTCACTTAAATATATTTATAATTATTTAAAAAAAACTTTTTATACTTATTATATGCTAAATTCTTACATATACCCTCATATAATTATTTTTTTATAATATTCGCTAGTATAACTTATAAATTATTTAAGTTTATCAATCAAAAATCACAACATTATTATATCAATATCTTCCATATCTATTATTATCTCATCTTATATATACTATATATATATATATATATAGTATATATATATATATGTATATATATATATATGTATATATATGTATATATATATATATATACATATATATATATATATATATATATATATATATATATATATATAACTATATATATACATATATATATATATATATATATATATATATATATATATATATATATATATATACGTATATGTACGTGTACTTATACGTACGTATACCTGTACGTATACCTGTACTTGAGAAAAGACTTCATTTCCTTGCTGATTATGTTGCCTAGGGCTCTTTCTTTTCATATCCATGTGGTTGTGAGGTGCAAAAGTGAAAATTATAACCTCGTTACATATGACACCCGGATGTTGACAGAAATATGTCATCAAAAAAGAAGATTAATTCTTCTTTTCTATTTGCAGTTTTTGTAGGTTGTAAATTTTAGACTTTTTGTTGTGTTTGTATTTAAAAAACTACCCTGTTGTGTTGTAATGTTTTTTATTCAAAATTTTTAAATGTATTTTTTAATATTTTTAACATGTTTGTGACAGTGTTCTTTACCACTAGGACCAACTGAACATTTTCAATGTAGGTTTTTAAATGTTGATTTCCACCACTGTACTATAATAGGTTTTCCATTTAGGTGCTGATGAAGGTGAAAACATATCACCGAAAATTTCACATTTAGAATAAAGTTCTACACCAAACTGGCTTATACCATCTCTAGCTGATCCTTGTTTTGACGCTTTCCCGAAAGTTACCCTCCAAAGAATTGTATTCTTAGCGTCGTTATACACACTCTTATATACGTATATGTTTACAATTCTAAAAAATTCTAAAAACCAAGAATCATCCGAGAAGCCATAGAAATTTAAAAAATCCAAACTGTCTTAATAAAAAAAACGGCAGTTATAGAGTCTTATAGGATACATATCAGATTTAATCTTCTACATATTTCGTATTGCATATAGGAGAGAAAACCACATAATTAAATCGTTTTCGTTCATGGCTCTAGCCCTTTAAATGCATGAAGTATTTCGAGGGTAGATACTGCTTCATTTATAGTTTAATTTTTCATTTTTCATTTGTGTATATACTTTTTGTTTTCTATTCTTTAGGCAGAATCGACATGTGTTTCCGGGCTCCAGCTACGATTAACCCAATAGATTCTACATGTTACACTTTCGAAAAAATATATTGTTACTTTAGCATGTTTTATATATATATATATATATATATATATATATATACATATATATATATAATATATATATATATATATATATATTATAAACATCCTGCGAAAGAATAAATTCGTTGCTACATTTTTATACCTCTTTTTACGGACTTTATATAAGATATGGCTTCTAGGCCGATCTTCTTTGAACTTAGCTATGGATCGATGGAATTCTCAGTCCTCGCCTTTATAAAAGTTTGCTTGAATCAAAAAAACGTTTCCATTTATGTAGTATGTTTTTATGTATTACCATTTCTTTCTGAATTATTATAGTAGGACTTAGATAGAAGGAATAAACAGCGATCTCTCGAAATAGCGATCTCTCAAAATTTTTATGAGAGAATTCGAAAGTGATTCGTTTTGTGACCAGTAGTGTGAGATAGATGGTACTTTATTGTAATATATAACCATAGTACAACTAATCACTGTCATAATTTAGTACATTCCTATTTTTTCGTGTTTAATTTTATATTTTTGCTTTGTACGGAAAGTAATACGCGCAAATAAACTGAAAATAATTTTAGAAAAATATCAACAACACGAGAACCTGTATCAATATTTAGTATTGTTATCCCATTTCTCTGGTTAGGAATTTCTTTTTTCGGACAAAAGTTTGAATTTGGTATATTCCATTGTGCAGTCAAGTCATTCCTTTCAATATCATCTTCAGATATTCCATTGTGCAGTCAATTCATTCCTTTCAGACTCATCTTCAGATATTTCCGTGTTATCAGAACTGTCTTCGTCGGAAGCAGTGTTTACATACAGGTGAGGTTCTTCGTCGGATTCATGTCCAGAAATATTTGAGAGGTTTTCAATTTATTCTTAGATTTTTTTTTGTTTTCTTCTTTGTTTTTAAAAAACGTCTACGTACGTGTCATATTGCAACCAAACAATACGAATGGGATAAATACGACCCGGTATAAACTACTATTGGGATACTTGGGTCCTATTTAAAAATTATGGTAAAATTGACGAAAACAATATCAAAAATAAACAATATATACCTCTAACCTGTGTTATTCAGCAATTTTATATAATCGGTTAAAAGAAAATCAGAGCAGCCAGAGTTGTTCATATACAAGTTTAGTTACCATCAATTTATAGGTTACAGACATGATATGTAGGTTGCATACTACTAGGTAATGAGCATCGAGCAAAAAGACAATAGAGGGAATGTAAAGGTATTGGGGGCAAACATATTGTTAGACAGGAAGTGCGATTTTTTAGAGGCCACATTAAACAAGTAAAGAGAGTCTCTCTCCTTGTTTGACATCAAATTTAGTTGGGTTATGTTATTGTTTGTCCCAAATGTCACATGAAATCTTATTTATATTGAAGTTTTTTAACAATTGTGTCGCATTTTAGACTCTTATCATTAATAATTAATTAAAACTTTCTCGTCTAAGACACATTCTGAAAATTATTATATAGCTACTGGTGATAAATGTCAGAAAATTTAAATTTCGCGCATTCGCATTTCCGGATATGTCCGCCATCAGAGGCCACTTTTTTGGTCTGCTTTTCATAAGGATTAGATTCCCTCTTTTGTCTTATTGCTCGATGGTAATGAGTAAGGAATGTCTAAAAATACGGATGAGTTCAAATAACATGGCCTTTGGGGACAAACAGATGCCAACAGATTTCTTGAAATTTGAGCATATATTTCCCCACAGTATGAAAGGGTTAACTCTTTCGAGGTTAACGTCTTCGAGACATAGTTTATAACAAATTAGTAAAAATACTCCACTATCTAAAACAACCCAAACTATGTTAATATCAAATGAAAATATACGACTTTAATATTCAACTTTTTGCTGAGGATAGTGAAAAAAAGAATAAAGCTGATGGCCAACAAAATTTATTTTATTTTGTTTAAAATGGACAGTAAAGTCGGAGTATTCATCATCAAGTAGCGCTACAACCCTGGGTGGGTCTTGGCTGACTGTACAAACTTTTTTCAAATTTGTTCGGTCTTCCATCAACTTAATGGAATGTTCATTTTACGGAGATCTGCTTGGATGTTATCTCTCCATCGCATTCTGGGACGTCCGAGTGGTATTTTGCCTGTGGGAATCTCCTCCCATACCAGTTTTACAAGTCTCTCGTTGTGCAGTCTGTGCACGTGGCCTGCCCATCTTAGTCGCTGTGATTTAATTTCTTCGAAAATATCGGCGTCATTGTAGAGTGCTTTTAATTCGATATTGGTTCTGATCTTATACTGGTTTCTGGTGATGTCATGGTGAGGTCCGAAAGTATTTTTCATTCAAAGCGTCTGAGCTTTTCTTCGTTTGCTTTGGTCATGATCCATGTTTCGCATCCGTATGTTATTACAGGTCTGACGATGGATTTATAGATTTTGATTTTTGAACTTCTTGTAAGATCTTTTAATTTTATGAGCTTATTCAGTGCGAATACACAGCAGTTTGCAAATTGGATTGTGTCTTTTATTTCTTCACTTACATCGTTGTCAGCTGTGATTACGGCCCTCAGATACTTAAAACGTTGTACTCTTTCGAATTTGAAGATGTTGACCGTCACATTTTGTCCTATTTTATCTCTTCGTGTCGTTCTATTTATACGCATATATTTCGTCTTCTCTTCATTAATCTTCAGCCCTACTTCACTTGTTGCTCCATCCACCTTGTTGAATATGTCTTTCGTGGATAGGATGGAGTCTCCAACGACATCTATGTCATCTGCATATGCAAGTAACAGCTTGGGACCTCGAACCGATAGCATTTCTGTTTTTATTTAGGCCGACCTCATAGCTTTCTCTAATACAAGGTTAAAAAGTAGTGGAGATAACGCATTCACCCTATTTGAGTCCACTGTTGATTTCAAAGCTGCTGGACAGTTTATTATTTACACGTACTTTATATATTCCACAGTCTTTACAGACTTTGGTCAACCGAATGGGTTTCTTTGGTATTGGAAACTCCGCCATAGCATTTCTTACTTGGCTTCTTCCTACGCTATCATATGCCTGTCGAAAGTCTATAAAAATATTGTGTATGGGTCTGTGATACTTTCATCCCTTTTCTGGAAGTTGTATCAGTGTGAATAGTTGATTTATTGTTGATCTCTTTGATAACAGATAAGCCTAAACTTGGCTTGATATTCGCCTAGGACATTTTCAGCATAAGGGATTAGTCTACTAGGAATGATGTTTGAGAGGGTTTATATGCCGTGTTTAGCAGTGAGATTCCTCTATAATTCGCGCATTTTGTTTTGTTTCCTTTTTTTGTGGATGGGCACTACTATGTTTTCCTTCCATCGTCTTGGTATCCTTTCTTCTAACCATATGTGCGTTATTAGCTGGTGGATTTGGCGATGTAGTGCGTCTCCCCCATATTTCAGAAGTTCTGCTGGTATCTCGTCCGTACCCGGCGCTTTGTGATTTTTCAGCTTCAGACCTTTAAGGTCTTTTGAGTTTCTTAAAAAGAGGGATTTTTGACGGGCATGTCCGCTGTGATAAAGATTTCTTCTTTGTGCTGTTCTTCCTGTATGAAATTTGGAAGGTCCCTACAATACTTTTTCCATTCTTCAGTTACTTCTTTACCGTCGATTATTACACGGCCTTGATTGTCTCTCGGTGTATGGATGGAATTGGTTCTATGTCTTCTTTTCTCAGAGGAAATTGCTTTATAGAATTCTCTGAAGCCTGGTTTGGGCCGGTCTCTCTCCATAGCTTCATATTTTACTCTACTCTACTCTACTCTATTCTACTCTACTCTACTCCTTCCAAAGATCTTGTCCGCTGTCTTGGTTATTACTTCGGCAGTCGTTTCCCATAGCTGTTCTATATCATTGTATTCTCTTTCAGAGTTTAAGGTTTGTTCAAGTTGTTCTCTATAGTTTTCTTGCTTTTCAGTATTGTGCATTTTGCACCAAAGTCGGGGTATTATTATTCTTTTAATTATAGTAAATTTTTAAAAACTCCGACTATGTCTGGCGTACATTATTACTTTGATCTTTATCAATTGTTAAGTACTGTATAATACCAAGTATAATACCAAGAATGGTAATATTCAATTGTCGGCAAACGAAGTAAATATAACAATTCTCCTTGTAATATATGTGACCAGAATTATTATATTTATGAATTATAATCACCCAGTCTCATTTCATTGTCTAAAACTTGCCGTTTTCGGATTTTTCAGATTTTCTATCTGGCCCAAGGACTATAACCAGAGGGGGACAGTATAAATATCTCTTTTCACCGGCAAATCTAGTCATTACACATAAAAATTTGTTGGTGGCTACGAAAACAAAATGAAACTCCAATCTGCACTTTGTCTTGTGATCTTCATCGTCCTTGGTAAGTCAAATTCTGTGAACTCAATCATTCTGTTAAGCTTGTTTCATTATCTAATTATGCTATTAAAGTCAGAATGGATTATTGTCGTAGATTTAAATAACTTGCAATTTTAAGAACTATATTTAAGCTGGATTTGTCACATGATTTTTATGTTTATTTATCTATTTATTTATTACAACTGCTTATAGGTTTTTAGTCACTACAAACAAAGCAAAAATTCCTAATCCGTGAACCAACTTTTCAATTGTTTCCAATTTTTCGTTTCTAAAATGCATAATTCCAACGTTTTTATGAAAAAAATGCCATAATTAAAATCATCAAGTTCCATTTTGCGCTAACGCCTTCACCTCGTTCCTCTTTCACTTTCCTTGACCTTAAATCTGTCCTACTCCAAGTTTGAGCTGGGCGTTCTTTTTTTTTTCCTTAGGGATTCCACTCTAGCCCACATATTACTAAAACTATTTTTTTTAATTTCATCTTTACTTAGGAAATATAGGGAAATATTTAACGACAAAAAATACTAAAATATTAATTTTTGCATTAGTCATGTCAAATAATGTCATGTTCTATTAAAAGGACAGCAGTAAGAAGCAGTGTATATTAGAAAGTAAAACTTTATACAATAATAATTACAAAGTATGAAAATCCTTAAAATATTGTTTAGGGTGTAAGGGTATTTTTCGCACAAAAATTGAACATTTTTCTTGCAAAGTCCGCAACGAGATTGGTTTTCTTGATAAACAATTAAATGGTTCATACCATCATATCTTGAATGTAAGACCGTGTTGGGATTCCGTCATGTTGCGCCGCGTTTGGTATCTTTTTTGTTTTCCAGAAGGTTGCAAGCTATTTACTATTACTATCGGTTTACAGCGTTCTCCAACGCCTTCCGACTTCTAACCGCCATTCTTCTCTATTTAACCATAGGCCTGAAGGGATTTCTCTTTCCTCTAGTTCTTTTTTAATTTCCTCTCTCCAGCTTCTTCTCGGCCTTCCTCTTTTCCTTCTCCCTTGTGGTGTCCACGTCAAAATCTGTTTCAGAATCCTCTCATCTGGAATTTTCTGTACATGGCCGTACCATATTAACTGTTTTGTTTTTATGTCATCAACTATTGTATGCTTGACTCCCATCATTTCTCGTATTATTATTTCTCTGATCTCTTCGTGATTTGCCTGCTGCTCTTTTCCAGAAGTCCATTTCTGTTGTTACTAACAGTTTCTCTGTTCTTTGTTTTATTGGCCAAACTTCACTGCCATCTGTGATTACACTTTAAAGTATGGTGTTGTATATGAGTTGTTTGTTCGCTTTAGATATTGTTTGGTGCCACATAATGAGTGTTCCATCTTGAGTTATCTTCATACCCAGGTACTTTTATTAATCACAGTGTCTAATTTCTACCGCATCGTCTGATATAATGGACTGCTTTGTCCCACCAATAAACATGGCTTCAGTTTTTTAATGTTGACTTCGAGACCCCATTTGTTATATTCTTCTATTAGCTTCCGAGTCATGTAACTCAAGTTGTCATGATCCTGAGCAATCAGTATTCATATGCTTTTTGTAAGTCTACGTACACCAGGTGAACTTCTTTATTGACGGCTGTTTTTTTTTCTCAATAACTTGCGTAATAGAGTACAAGTGGTCTACTGTGGATCGCCGAGCTCTAAAACCAGCTTGCTCCTCCTCCTTCGTAATCTATATAGTCATTTTCTATTTTGTTCTTAATAAGTTTCCCATACATCCTAATTATTGTGCTGTTTACCGCAATTCCTCTGTAATTTTCACACTGATCCTTGCTGCCCTTTTTGTGGATAGTTGACATGATAGATAATTTTCATTCTTTTGGTAATTCGGCCACATTCAAGCAGTCTTGAAAGAGTTTTCTGAACTTCCTGGAGTTTGTCTGTACCGGCTTTCACTAATTCTGCAGGGATGTCACCAGGACCAGGGGATTTTCCATTTTTCAGGAATTTGGTTATTCCTTCCATCTCTGATTTACTTTGGTGATCAATTTATACGTATACCTACCGTGTTGCCTTCCATGTTAGTAAATTCTGGTCTTTGTTCTGTTAGTAATTTTTTGAAATATTCTTCCCATTTTTCTGTTGTTATTGGTGATATAACGTCTTTTTTCTTACTATTTCTCATACTTTTAATTAATCTCCAAGCCTCCTGTGTAGGCGTTGATCTTTTGACAAGTGCTTCTTCTGCTGCTAAATAAATCGACCTTTTGATGTTTTCGTAGTGTTCTTCGGTATTTTGGTGTAATCGTTTTTTATATAGTAGCTTTACTCTCTTATGGTTTAAAGTGTCTAGGTTGTACCATACTTGTTTTAACTGATTTGACTCGATGTGTACTTTTTCTTTTTCGTATCTGTTTGGGAGTACCGTTTTAACTTTTAGCAGATGATGATCGGTGCCACATGATGGCCCTCTGGCTACTCGCACATCTTGTATTTTAATTGTAGTTCTCTGTCTTACAATGCTATAATCTATTATAGATTTCAGATTTCTGGTCTGTTGTATCCACGTGTATTTGTGTATATTGCGGTGTGGATAAAATCCATTTATAATTTAATTCCTTTATCCTTAATTATAATAAAGGAATCTTTGTTTATTCCTTCTAAATTGATCTTAACATATTTGGTTTTCATAAATAAAACAAAAGTATCCATTCTACAATTATTACAGATTTTATGGTAGATAAGACGTCGTAACATGACTCTTGCTCTTGTAAATGTCTAATATATTTTTTAATGTATTGTCTTATTGATTAAATAATGCTTATAACTACATACGTTAAATATTTGTTATTTTGGTAGTGATCCTTAGCGTGGTGTACGGTGCTCCGTCCAAGGGATCAACCAAGGCATCTCTACAGAAGAAACCATGTCTAAAGGACTGTAGTGGTGTTGACTACAAGCCAGTATGCGGTGGAGACGGAACCGGAAAGGGAGACAAGAGCTTCGGCAGCGAATGTGTGTTGGGTAACTTCAACTGCGAACATTCAACTAGTAAGTATTTTATATATTATACAGGGTTGAGGATTTAAAAATTTGGCACCGTTATTTCGTAAATAATATAAAAAATTTAAAATATTGTTGAGCTTTCATTAGTATAATTTATTTACTTTCCTTCTCTTATTCTAACTCACTAAAACACAATAATTTACATCAATTTATTAAACCACTTATACAACAATTTATTTTCGACTAATAATTACATAATTTATTTATAATACGAACGTTACATTTAAAACTCGGCGCGCTATTATCTTCTGGCTCACTGTTTTCTACAAAAAGGTTTCTATTTATATAACATGCTGTTATTCGAGAGTTCCGGCGATTCCCTTTGACTAGACTAGAAGGTCAATCGGACGGGTCTTCATTCGACCTGCTTCTGGAACCTTCGAATCGTAGTGGACTGACCGTTTCAGGTAGATATTACCTGGAATTTCTGCCAGCTGATAAAATGTAATAATATAATGCAATTTTGACTTCAAAAGGTAGCTTTTCAGTCAATACTTTTAGTTCTTAAGAATCATCTTTGTTGTTTAACATAAACTCTGATCAAATCTTTCAAGGAGCAGTAGAAATGCGACAACGAATATTTTACTGTGCAAGTAGAAGTATGAAGGTCAATTGGTCTTATCATTATTCCAATAAAAAGGGTCTACTAGTATGGCATCTAAACTAATATTATTTCAGTTAAAATCTACAAATAAATACAATGACGTCTATGAAGCCAAATGTGTTCATCAGACATTTGGGTAAGCTTTCCGTGAAATGTAAACACCAAAGAGGCGTGCCGGGTTTCTTTGATATAACACATTTTCTTACTTTATTAGGTATTACAACTGTAATAAAAAGAAATATACTATTTTTAATATAAATGAAAAGAAATTGGCAGAACAATTGTTCACAAACCAGAAAAAGGATCTAATATTTCACTTTAATAGTTTTAAATATTTGTTTGCTTTGAGTTTATGTAGTCTTAAAAGTTCCGAAAGTAACGGGTATAACATACTGGCTATTGATAGTTAAAGTACCGAGTCGTTACAGATATTAAAAAGTAACGAAAACTTATATACAGTTTCATATATCGCCGACTGATGTGAATCTGATCGTTGATGATAGTTTTAGAAGATTAAGAGAATAAGTGAATAAGTAAGCTTTTTTTGTTTTTTTAATATTAATTGAATATTCGACTAAAAAATTTACACTATTTGATCACTTAAGTATTGTTACATTTCGTTTAAATCACATAATTCAAAAACCAACTTGTTTACAATGAAATAATTGAAATGAAAAAATAAACTCCATGATAGTAATTATATACTTCAAAATCTGAATTACAACTGTTTTATAAACTATAAACTTTATATTTATATCATGACTTCATATTTAAATCTAAGGTTTATATCTGTCGTAACAGTATTTTAAAAATGGGGAGAATTTACTATTGTACAATTCAGTACATTGGACCATTTAAATCGACACCTTAAAGCGAATTTAAAACAGTTTTATATTCGTGGAATGTACGCCTTCCTGTAGTTGTCTCGAAGATACGCTCTGAGTACATGTTAAATAGCACTGGAGGCAGAATGCATCCTTGTCTCACTCCTCTATCTATGAAGATTGTCTCTGTCAACTGTCATCCACTTTAATGTTGGCATTATAATGTAACATTTCAGTGAACTGAACATTCATCGTTGAACAAAATATTTTTAAAAACTGCCTGCCTGCATTAGTCCTCTTTAAAATATTTCATAAAAACTTCCCCGTTTCTCAGCATTTCTTTTTCTTAGTTGTTGTCTACAGCAATGAATTTATTACAGCAATATTGTTTGTACAGGTACAATTAGAAAATACGGTCTCAATATTTTAAACGTTTTAAAATCTTTTGAATTGTTGAATGAATAAGTTGCTAAAAAAAGAACTGACATTGCGCGAGCACAATTGCCCGAATAAAACATCATTTTTATTGCTGAATTCTTCTCAACTGAGTAAATTTTATCAACTTTATTGTTTTATAAACAATAAATAATACAATAAAAATATTGACTCATCAAACATTGCTAATATCTAACTTCATTGGAACCAAATGCAACCCTTATACGTGTGGCCTAACTTTGATAACAATATTCTGGGAAATATAATATATATCTGCAAAATACACATTCTGTAGTGCGTGTGGCCTATATTTTACAACAATACTCTTGCAAATGTATTATATTTTTGCAAAATTTTGGAATGTGTTTAATTCGTAGAAAAATTTTAACATTTGTATTTAAATGACAGATTTCGGTCCTCTGCAAATAGTTTTTCCCGACTTTTGATGAAATAACATTTTATAAGGGGCGTCATATTATACTGTTCTGTATACGGTGAATTACAACAATTTATGGGTGAACGTATTTTAATATTATATTTTTTTTATTTTCTAGCTCTGAAAGTGGTCAAACAAGGGGAATGTCCAGGAGGTGGCAGCATCCGTCTTCAATAAATAAATAAATATAATAATAATTATAAGACAAATTCTATATAATGAATTTATTTGAACTATTTGATCAATAAAAACCTAATAAAGGATTTTGTTAACTTTATTACTAAACCTTACCGAAAATAGCCATTGCAGTAAAATCTGACTTCCCAATCCGATATTAGAGTACATTCAACCAACTTACACCTCTAAACGATTAACGGAATTCGCAGAAAACTTCTCCTTATAGTAAAAGGCACGGTAAACTGCACTGGTGTTTTCCATAACACTTTGCTAAATTTTAGGCATAAAATAACTCTACAGAATTGAGCGCTGCCTGACTATATGTGAAGATGGCAACTGAACAGAACGTTCTTTCCTGCCTTTTAATTTTTGTCATGCAGTGATGGATTGCAGTTATTTCCGCCTAGAAAACTGTCACATCCTTAGATAGACTTACCAGGAAATGTATTCCTTGATTTGTACCTACTATGCCGGCTCTCACACCCTCCGATGTTTTTGAGCCATCCGTGTACCAGGTAGCAGCAGATTTTATGGGTACACCTTTATTCCAGTCTTCCCTGCCTGGTATCTTAATTGTAAATTTATTGTTAAAGCTATATCTCGTAGCTGTTGCATCGATAGGTTTCCCCATCACAATATCGGCTTTTAGCTTCTCGATTAGCTTTCTGTTGTTAGTACCATGTATCTGGCTTACATGTCGCTGACTATGGATTAATCTGTGCATCACTGATCTGGCTTTGCCCTGTATAAAGATATGAAGTGGTGGTAGATTCAGCAGGACTTCCAACGATGCAGAAAGAGTTGTCGCTGATAATTAAGTATTTTGTTGTACATTTTTACGCCAGTATTTTGTGCCGCTCTTTGTATCAAAAAAATAATATTTCTATCTATAATAATTTCCTTTTGTTTCTGACTATAAAATCGACGTGATCTGCAGACGTATCTCTAAGAACATCATCAATAAGGTAAGAACGTGCATCACTTATTCTGCTTTCGAGTAGAAGAAATATTCAGTGTGTAGAATTCGCCAAAATTACTTAAATTAAACTAATCAGCTTAAAGTCTCTGCATTTGCTTCTCTTTGATAGTGTTATGAACACAAACTACAACAAACCATCTGAGTTTTCTCAAGCAGCATTATAAAAGAGGTCAGTGATATGTTTCTCCCATTTTCGGTATAGTTTTTCGTGTTTACAGATATTTTTGTGTTTGACCAAACATTGGTTGCGAGTGCTGTAAGTTTTTGAGCCGACAATTTCTGCTACGAACTGAGCTTGTTTTACTACAAAATAAGCTAAGGTAGTTGGTATTCAGTGATATGAATTTTTTTTACAATGAATAACTGTAATTAGTAATAAAAGAAACCTGCTTTTTATTATTTATTTATTATCTTCTTCTTAATACATTTTCTGTTTAAATATACATCTGGGTAAAAAAGAAAAGTTAGGTTTCTAGAAATCATCTAATAAATAGTATAAAAAGAATTTATAAACACATTTGGTAAAACTGGGATATGTTTCGGTGTTTGACAGATTAACTTGTAGGTTTTAGTGCAGTTGACTAATATAAAAATCAGAAATAGTTATACGATAAAAGTCTAGTTGGTTCTATATTATAAATTATAAATTTAACATAATATGTCGTATACCAAGAAAATTATTGTAGAACTATTGATAATATAATTTTGAGGATAGCATTTTTGACAAAAGGTTTTCACGGTAACTCTAACTGTACATATTATTTTAAAATAGTATAAAAAAGCTTCATATGTTCAAAATAAAATAGACTTTAATAGGATAATGTTAAAGCATTTACCAAATATTTAAACTTTTATGAATCGGTAATGGTTTGACTGTTTTAGTAATATTTTTCATAGAAATTTTTTCTATGTTCTGATTTCATAAATTAAAATTGGAGATATAAACGATTAAATTTGTGTAGGAAATACACCTCTTCCCATTCCTAAGGTGTAACATTACCAGTACAGCGCTGTATTGCAATCCTCAAGGCCGACGAAAAGTAAACTGACCTAAAAAAGATAGAGTTGGATGCTGACTCCCAGACATTACTTAATATTTGTTTTACGTTGAATAGATGGGTAATAGTAGACCATAATAATCTGAATTCGACCTGGTATTCCCCTATAATTTGCTGTATGAAGTGACTCAATCTCTTGTTAAACACCTTACACCTCATATACAGAAGAGTTATGTTTCTCTTTTTTTTTCTCTTCTTGTAAATTGGGCATATATTATAAATTGGTCTTTTTTCCAGACTCCTGGAACTTATTTTGTGTTCTATACATTATGTATTGTTTATTCCTTGCATTTAAGGGTGGATATGTTAATCCATTATTCTTGTGGTCGCTCCATAATTAACGCTCCTTCATATGTTTCGTACCAAGTGATAACTTGCGACCTAAATGTCAATACAGTAAAGGATAACATTTTTAACTTCATCAATGACATATCCTCTGCTGATTATACCTATATAACAACGCCCCTCTGGTAGCTACAAGAAGTGTTCTTTCAGATTTTCCACACTGCCAGCATCGCTCAGTCATCGCAGAGCTGGGCATACAAATTCCCTTAATTAAATCAATTTCAAGACCAAGATAGAACAAAGAAGTTCGCTTCTGACCTTAATAAGTACCTGAGCTGGATACTACCTATCAGTAAGAGCTAGTTTTGTCGGGGCTGTGATAAGCACAGCCTCATTGCATGCCTAGAGGTTATCGGAAACAATATATCTCGGGGTGGTGTCAAAATAATGATAAATTATACCAGAACTTTCTTGAAGCTGGAGACCAAGATATCTCAGATGAACTTATTCATAGTCTGAATGCAACACGATAGCAAAAGTGGACTGAGGCAGTAGAAAAACCAAACTGGAAAGCCTGAGCCCTAATAAGGAAACTTGGAGATGGTAAAAGCTTTCAACAACGAAAAGCAGATATAAACCCAAACTTTGTACCATATCATATTGTTTCAACATCAAGAGCTACCAGAGATAAATCTCACACACAAGACATAAAGAAACATTTAAAAACCTTGAAGTCGCAATCAATCGAGACGGAACACTCTCGCCCTTTCACAATTAAAGAAATAGATATCGCTCTTAAAGATGTTTCCCCGGGTAAAGCTCCAGGTTTCGACGGCATCTACCTCGAATTCATACTCATTAGAGGGAAATACACAAAAACCTGCCATCACATTTCTTCAAAAACATAATTCAGACCGGCAGAGTCCCACCGGAATTTCAACACTCATAAGTCATAGCAATACTAAAACCGGATAAACCGGCTGACCACCCAAAAAGCTATATACCAATTTTAATGCTGTCTATACTATATAAACTACTCGGAAGACTAATTTTTAACAGAATCACTTCAACAATCCTCAAAGCTATACCAATTGAGCAAGCAGGTTTTAGACCAAATAGAGGTTGCACAGACCAGGTGTTATCGCTCTGTACTCACATAGAAGCCAGCTTTCAAACAAAATTAAAGAGTTCTGCTGCGTTCATAGATCTATCAGCAGTTTTCGACACCATGTGGTGAGAAGGAATGATTTATAAACTCTTATGCACTATTCTTTGAAAATTCACCGCTAGATTAATAAAAAAACATGCTCACCGATAGAGTATTTTAAGTAACTATAGGATCCGAAGCCAGTACCCACAGAAAACTCAAAAATAGTCTGCCACAAGGCTCGGTACTCGCACCACTGCTTCTTAGCCTTTACGTCACAGACATGCCGACAACAACATCAACAAAGTTTGGCTATGCTGACGACTGGGCTTTATTAACCCAAATAAAGTCACTCTGGTACATAAAGAATAATCTGGCGTCAAGAACCCTTAACGTTCACTTTGATAACATACGACTCAACCACAATAGATATCCAAAATATCTAGGCGTGACCTTGGACAGAACGTTAAGCTTTAGAGAATATTTCAGTACAGTTGCCGAGACGCAAAAACCAAAAACCAGAAATAACATCATTCAGAAGCTCTGCGGCACAACGTGGGGAGCATCGGCATCCACACTCAGGTCTTCAGGCTTAGCTCTTGTTTATTCCGTAGCTGAATACTGCGCGCCAATATGGATTAACAGTGCTCGCGTTAAAATATAGATGTCCAGCTAAATAACACTCTAAAGTAATCAAATCTACACCAATACATTGGTTACCAGTGCTGAGCGAGATTTCACCACCACATCTTTGCTGACTTAATCTGCTTACAAAAGAATATAACAAGATCCTTACCTATATAAAAGATGCAACCAAAAGTTCCCTGCGCTCCAGAAAATCTCCAATACAAACTGCATAATCAGCCACAGTCACAGGGTTCAACATGATCACCAAATGGATCCATGAATGGTCGGCAGCTCAACCAAACACAGCCACATCTTGCATCATAGAGACACCTATTGGATTTGACCTACCACGTAAGACCTGGTGCATACTTAACCGCATCAGAACTCAACATGGTCGATGTGCAGATATGTTGCACAAATGGGACTAGCTACCATCACCGTCATACAGCTGCGGCGAGGTCTAATCTATCAAGCACATAACGGAGGAGTGCCACCAGCGAGCCTACAAGGAAAATTCACAAAGACTTTCTGTTTGCCACGATCGAGTCGATTAACTAGATAAACAACCTCGACGTTTGTCTATCATCTGGACATAATTTAAGTATTTTAATATCGAGTCCATTTTAACGTTTATTGTAATATTGTAGATGTGTCGAAATGCCATACGCTAAAAAAATAAATAACCACTATACTTCTATTCTACGGAGGTGTCTCTTCATGCTGGAACCTCCACCACAAAATCGAAGGTTAAGAAGGTACTGCCCAGGTAAATCAATAGATTTTATGACTGTTTCTGCACCCATTGTAAACATTAATTTAATTTGTTTATGGTAAAGAATTAGGGTTATGGAATGGTAACTAATAAGAAAAGGATAAAATCATAAAAGAAATGAAATAATTTATTTCAGTAGAAATCGAACAATACACTGAAAGATTTGCATAATTAGTTCTCAATAGTAAACATAATTTACATACATCTATGATGTTATT